CACACACACACACACACACACACACACACACACACACACACACACACGTCGAAACTAATTTCTACTGGTTACCCAACATTTTTTATTAGAGGGGAATTTAGTTGCAAAGATTAACATATGATATAAATATCATTGCCTTTTTACACATGATGGGAATAAAAAAAAAACCGCCTATGTCCAGTTTCTCTGTAGCATGCTAGTAATTTTTGCTTCTACCCTTTTTGTCATTACTCTGGAAAAAAGGGTATGCATACTCTGTATGTGTAGTATAAATTTTGTTGGTTTTTTGGTGTTAGGTTTAGAAATTTAGGTGACTTTTTCTATTATTTGACTTTTCTTTTGGGCGGTTTGGGGATATGGGTTTCTTTTTCTGCTGGGAGTATTTGGGAACTTTGAAATGATGAATGAAAGACTTTCTCTAATGCCTTATTATGGCAGGAAGGGGTCCCTGGTTTTTCTATGATTATGCCAGCAAAGCACAAACTCTCAAAGTATAGGTCAGGCAGCAGACTCTGTAGTGTCATTTGAAGAGTTCAGAGAAGCCTATTATCAGAAAGTGTCATCAGGTGAGGCATTTGGGTGGGCCACAGCCTTAAATTACCCGAAGCTCATTTATGAAGGCATAGGGGTCTGGGATCTGAATTAGTAAAGGGAGTACTAATACTTGTGAAATCACAGATCTTGGAAGGTGAGGTGATGAAGGGTGAGAAGAGACAGAAAGGAAGCTGAGTTCTCCTTAGTATACATGTAATCAGGTATTTTCATTATACAGTTATTATTACATATACAGGGATAAAATACTCCTTACTATTCAGGAGTACTTACAGGGCCGAATTTCTTGTAACTAGATCAACAAAGTTAAGTTGTTATATTTGCAAGGCATAGAAATAGCTTTGCAGAATATTTTGTTGCAGAGGGATTTTATATGTGTGTGTGTATAAAATCTTTCCTTGATTCTATCTAAAACAATTAGTAAAATATACACATACACATAAAATCTTTTTTTATTCCATCTAAGTCGATCAATAAATGCCTGCTGTGTGCCCAGCACATTACTAGATACTGGGATATCAATACAAAATCCCAGATTCCTTGGAGTTGTCTAGGAATTTGAATGCCTCACTAGATACTCACAATATTGCAGGCATCTCTAAATAACAAATCTCCTTTTTCAGAGGTGGTACTATCTGATACTATGCCATCTAATGGTCATTCATTTTTAATATCTCCCTGCCCCTAAATGATTCAGTATTTCAGGAAAATATCATAAATACACACTAGTACCCCGTTATACTGGTATCTAGGAACAAAGGAAATGGTAGTCTAGGTTTCTGCATTATCATCAAAGAGATGCATTGGAGACCACTACATTCATGTCTTAACCATTGACACAGATGAGTAAGTTGCATGGCAAAGTATTTTATATTATTTTTATTGTGCAAACTACATAAAATACTCAAGCAAAAGCAATATGTAGGAAACAACTTAAAATTCCCTCAAATTAATATATTTTGTTTTACTAATTTACCTGGTACTTAAGAGACTGTCATGAAATATGCCTGAGTTTTATAGGAGTATTAGGTTTTAAAACAAAAATAGACTAATAGCAGCAAACAGCACACATTCAAACAATACTTTAGGGTCTGCAAAGCATTTTTGGATATACTATCTCATTCGATCCTTACAAGAACCTTGGGAGACAAGCACTGCACTTATTGTCATCCCTATTTTATAGATAAAGAAACTGAGGCTCAGAGAGTTTGGGTAATTTGCCCACACGAACCAGCTAGTGTCAATAAAGTCTTAGCCTTCCTGCCCCTAAATCCTATACTCTTTCCACTATATCACGTTGCCTTTCTGAACTGGTATGGGTTAGGCTAGATAGCTGCTGAGGTCCCAACAACTCTGAAATTCTGTGAACTGAGTTACCTGCATTGATATAATGAAATCAAGATAAGAGACCACATTTTACTTTACACCACTTTCCCCCCCATGTTGTGAAACAAGTAGGTGTCTCATTGGTTGAAAAATGGTTAATGATGCAATCAAGAATCTTGTTTGGATTATTCAATCCTAATTGAGTCCATGTGTTTGGCATTTTTGATTATCAGATTCTCCACTGTTAGATGATGAAATCCCTCCTCCTTTGCCTGAACGGACCCCTGAATCCTTTATTGTGGATGAGGAATCTGGTGAGTATAGATGGCTTAAAAATGCAGAAGTGGAGATAGTCACTTGCCCCCAAGACTATAGATATCATGGTGCTCAGAACAAATTTAGCTGAGAGGAGCGGGAATCAAAGGAGGAGGGGCAGTGGCAATGTCTGGAGTGTGGAGTTCTGAGGCTTTTCAAGGGCCTGATGGTGGTCCTCTTGCCCCTTTGCACCAACAGACTTTGAGAAACAGGGACAGAAGTTAGGAAGACTTTGGGAAATGTGGCCCCTGGGGACAAAGCCTAGGACTTCCCAATATAGTTATGGCTCTGGTCACCACATAAGACTCTTATAAAATAAGGGCATATAGTTGGACTACATCATTGCAAATTCTCTTCCAGCTCTAAATATCTATAATTCCACATGTTCTGTGTTGGTTTGGAGTCAAGTTTAGCTTCCAAGGGAATAAATGTTCTCAGGATTTGAATATTACTTAATGGGTTCCAGGAAACTTTTCAGAGATGACTTCCAAACCCCAGTCTTCACCTGTGAAGCTAAAAATTGGAACATCATTGGAATGGAGTGGAGTTTCTGAATCAGAGAAATCTAATGATTCATTTCGACTGAGACCAAGTAAGGTAAATAAGTACATCTCTTCTGACTCATGTCATCTGGGTTTACGTGATTATAGTTCTTTGTTTATGTATTCCTAAGCAGTTATTCACTCTGTTAATTCATTCAATCAATATTTATTAAACACGTAGAATCTTTGAAATGATGTTAGGCACTATGCGGGATGACAAAGATGAATTTAGATATCATTTCTGTCTCCAAGCTTATAACCTAGCAGGGGAGATTAGACAAAAGTAACTTCAGTGCAAGATGTAATATAATAAATTCCACGAGAGGTATGGTCAAAATTCAAAGAAAAGAGATCTTTTCTGGTTGGGTGAATCAGGGAAGGAGGTAGCATTTGAAATGAACTTGAACAATTAATTGAATAAAAACAGAACGGTTTATGAGTTTGCAGTTCCCTATATCAATCTTCTGGTAGGCAATATAAGTTAACTGTAGAGTGATATGTTGTGAAAAGCAATTTTCTAGCTTCTTTGCATATTAAATCAGCTTCTTATAACAATAATGCTTGAGCTTCAGGGAGAAAAATTATACATGTGTTTTGTATTTCTACCTAATTCTATAAGCTAGTCTACAAAAATTTACAAAGGCTAGGAAATTGTTTAAAAATTTCTATTATTTCATACAATACATGGTAGGCAGGCATTTAATTTTGTATTAGAAGCACCATAAAGTTGGATAAGTATCATCAATATATGTTTTAATATAGACATTTACCCTAAAAGTAACTCAGAAATTAAGTTAGGGTTCCATTTTTAACAACTTGTTTCTGTTTTTTTAAGAAAGGAAGTTCAGGAAAACTCTAACTAAACTTCAAGGGGAGTTTCTAAGTAGGAAGGAAATAAATTCCTCTAGTTGGATCAGTTCAGGACAAAGTGTCATAGGATATAAAACAACTAAGAATGGAGGATAATGGTTTTACAGATCATCTGATGAATCAGGAGAAATAGAGAGCCTATTCTATAGCAATCTCCATAGGGATGGGAGAAATAATATTTCCATTATATCACTTACTGCCTCTTCAACAGATGTTAAATGTTTTTTCTTTTGTTTACTTGTAGAGTGTGAAACTGAGAAGTTCCAAATCAGGTAAAATTGTCCTTGATTTTATTTTTTCAAACAATTTTTGAAATGACATAATGTAGACCTCTCAGATACTGTAAAAAATGGTTCACTGAACTTTAAAAGTAATTCACCTCCAAAAACTGCACTGTTTCTTTAATAGTTGAAGGTATATAATCTTAGATCAAGAGGTAATGTTTCTGGTTTCTTTAGTCCAGAGGTTCTTAACCTTTTTTTGTCATGGACCCCTCTGTCTGTGAAACCTAAGGACCCCTTCTCAGGACATTTTAGATGCATAAAATAAATAGGATTACAAATGAAACCAATTGTATCAAAATATCATTATCAAAATATTAAAAAAAAAGTTTAAAGACCCTAGGTTCAGAATCCCTGCCCTAACCTGTAAGGTCCTTCCCGTCACTCCCATTTCCGCATCCCACACTATAGGCAGGTTTAAAATGTGTAGCTCTCTGTTCCTTACCTTTTCCTTGATTCTATTTCAAATGAACTATAAGCCTTTTGGCCATTTCATTGCCATGGGGACTTGGGGTAGGGTAGAAGGGAAAGAGTATATGCAGGAGAGTCATCTGGACTTAGTTTCAAACATAGCACATGGCAAGGATCTGTCACTGTTCAGCTATGGAGCATTTGAAAGGTTTTGCCAGGCTTAATAACAACTGTGATACTGAACGAAAGCTAGATGGATGTTTCCTCAATAATTACCATATTTGCACAGGAAGAGGCTAGAATACCCGTTTTTTGTTTTTTTTGGCATCTTTTTCATACTTGGGTGGATTTGTAACCCAATCAATCTATGAGTACTCCTTCCAATAATTCAAAATGAAAACTTCCATGTATGTTCATATTCTTTTTTTTTTTAGGCAATTGGGGTTAAGTGACTTGCCCAGGGTCACACAGCTAGCATCGAGTGTTTGGTCTGAGGCCGGATTTGAACTCGGGTCCTCCTGAATCCAGGGCCAGTGCTCTATCCACTGCGCCACCTAGCTGCCCCTCTATGTTCATATTCTTTTTTTTTTTTTTAAATTTTTGTAATTTTTTATTTGTAAACACAAATATTTGCAAAGTGCTCAACACAGTGCCATGTACATTATAGGTTCTTTTTAAATTCTTATTTCCTTTTTTTTGGTGAGGCAATTGGGGTTAAGTGACTTGCCCAAGGTTACACAGCTAGTGTCTGTGTCAAATATCTGAGGCTGGATTTGAACTCTGGTCCTCCTGATCACAAGGCCGGAGCTCTATCCACTGCGCCACCTAGCTGCCCCTCTATGTTTATATTCTTTACAGAGGCTTAGGCCTCTCTGGATCTCTGAGAGTCCTGGTCACAAGATGGATCTTTGACTCTGCTCCCCAATTTCCAATTTTTTTTGGGTGCTTTCCTGATATTTGTGTCTCACACCACTGAGGTACTGATAGATTAGGAAAAGGAAGCGGCTGAGTCTAATTCTTTTCAAGATTATTCAGATCTTATCAAATGAGCACTGAGCAGATACCACAGGCCTAGCGCTTTTCTAAGAAGGAAAGAATATGGAAGTGGAGCCAACTTCTCCTTTGAAGGAGCTTTTATATATGCAAATGACTAAACACACTATATATCTAAATGCCAAACTTTTTTTTTTGTATGCTGACTGCAAGTACAGTAGGAATTCAGGAAAGAATAAAATTACTATGGACTGGTATAGTTGGAGAGGACTGCATGAAAAAGGCTTTGAGGTAGGTCTTGAAAGACAGAAAAGATTTGGATAGGCAGTGGAAAGGAAGAAGGACATTCCAGGTGAGGGAACAGAATTAACAAGGGTATGGTGACAGCATGACCAAATTTGGTGCAGTTAACAGTGAAGAAACTGGCTTGACTGAATAATTGGGAAATAAAGCCTTAAGAGAGATAAGAAGTTTTTGAAAGCCAGGCAAAGGAGTTTGGATTTATTGTAGTATGTGAAAGAGAGTCAGTGTAGGTTCTCAATCAGGGGCTGATGGGACTAAATTCTTCTTTGTAGGAAAATGAGCCTGGCAGTGGTATACAGTTATTTGCTGACTGACTTGAGTTCCACAAAGCATCTTGTCCTGGCAAATAGACTACATAATTTCCAACATTCGAAGTAAATAGTCCTGTTATGCTTTCCCTTACTATACACAAGATATAGGCAAGAATGCTTTAAAAGCCTATTTCAGAGACAAATGTTAGGATTTCTACAAAATCAAATAGGTCTAGCATTAGTGAGACTTCATAGTAATGGCAAAGGGGTTGCAAAATCAATATGCCCACCAAGCAATACAATTTTGATCTTTATTGGTCTCCAAAAAATATGCAGTATGACTCAGTTTAACATATGTGAACATGCCTTTTGTAAGTATCCTACATGTTAACAATTTTCCCAAGCACATAAAAACACGTTTATGATGCTTTACACTATCTCACTGGTATGTTTTAGTAGTCCTGTGAGGTGTTATTTGTATTTTATATGTAAAGAAACTCAAACTCACATAGCTAGTGTCAAAGTCAAGATAGGAACCCAGGCCATCTTGACCCTAAATCTCGTATGCTATCACAACAAGCTGCTTCTACAAATGAGGTTGTGATTAATAAGATGCAAATTCATTTAAGAGCATCAATGACTTCATATTTTAGCTTCCTGGTGTATTACTAAAAGTAATCACTACTGCCATATGGGAATCAAATTTTTTTACATTAAAAGGGTCCTCACACTTGGAAAAATTGGGAGCCTCTGAACTGGCATTTAGTGGTATTCAATCATCCAAGAGAATTTTTTACCTTCTTAAGTTTCATTGTGCTTGCCACCATGTTGTAGAAGCCTCATAAAGAGGCTCCTCTTCTCTCAGAACTTACAGCCTAAGAATGGAACTTAACTGTATTCCTACAGCACCTGCCACAGAGTCAATGTCTTAATAAGTGCTTGTTGAACGATTAAAAAAAATACTGGAAAGAAGCTACTGTTTAGGCTCATGGACTGGACAGATGTAGGTAGAGAATACGTGAGGCTTTACTATCTTAGGTAGCTGCAAATTAATATTGAATAAGTAGATCTGGCTACAATATAGTGTTCATCCAGGATTTAAAAGATTTTAATTATTTTTAATTGAAGGGACTTTTCTGCTTTTCTGTTCTTCATCTCAGAGATACCGCAGGACCGTTCTTCATCCCCTCCTCCTCCGCTTCCAGAGAGAACACCTGAGTCCTTCCTTCTTGCTGATGAAGACCGTAAGTGGCAATGTCTCCTCCTCCTTAAAGAAGGATTTTGTAAATGGCAATATTAAAAGATCAAAGATACTGTTTTAGGTTTGAAAAAGCTGGACAGAAATGGAAAGCACAGAAAAGATTATGCAGGACATAAAAAGGTACAAAATTAAAAATACATGAAAATGACAAAGAAAAAAACCAGCACAAGTGGTTGAACTTGTAGCTCAAAAGTGGAACTGGCCAGGTGCTTGGACTTGGGTTCTCATGTTGCTATTGGAGTTATTTCTCATGGAATGACTAGTTTTCATGGAGCTATGTGGAGTGCCAGTAATAAGTTTGGTAGGCTTAGGAAATGATTTACACTAAATAAGTCACAAAAGGCTGATTTATAAGCCAGAATACCAATTTATTTACAATGGAAAATAATGCCTTTGTAGCAGCTTAAATACTCTGTTCCCTATATTAAAGTACCTGGGAAACTGAAGTACTGATTTTAACCTTTTAGTGATGTCACCATGCTGCTCTCTGCTGGGTAGCATTCTCTCATCACTGAGTTGCTTTCCACTGTCATATATTAGAGTGTACGAAATAGAAAAGAGGTAAAACTCGATTGGTGCTCAGGCAAAAGTGATGAGCCCCGAATCCAGCCAAGGCAGTCAGTAAAAGCTGGAAGAAGCATCCATGCTAAAATGAAGTCTACTCTTTTGACTGGTTTATTACTGGTGCCACTTGAGGCACTAATCAACTATGGGATTTGGGATCAGAAAATTCCTGGTACCCTTGGTTAAATCCTTAATTGCCAAGCTACAGCCCCAAACCCATGTCTGAGCCTCTTCAACAAAATCCCACTGAATCCGAGTGAAAGCCAGGACTATGAGGCTCCTTCCCATCATGTCCCCTGATGGCATGCGCATGAACCTAGAAACAAGACAGAAAGTTGAGCAAAACAGGAAGGTCCGTTAGCCTCTGCTGCTGTTCTACAATTTTACTTTTAATATGCAATCTGCCATCAACAAACCTCTGACTTTGCACTTCATTCTGGCCAGCACAAAAGTGCTAATTTCTGTACACTCTCCCCCAGTGAAGAATGAACACTCATTGCAGATCATACCTGACGCATGGCAGCTATTATTATTATTCTTTTTCACTGATCTTATCTTACTCAACAGAATCTAACTTCCCAGTGGGCAACAAGTGGTTGCAATGTGTTATCTTTATAAGGACCTGGGTTATTTTCTAGACTGGTAAAACTGCCCAATCTTTCAATTACTCATACAGGATGGCTTTCAATTAGTCGGTTACCTTGTATTTTCCTTGCACAGAAAGTTTATTTACCAGAACTCCATTCCCTTACTGAAGTTATGGTTAATGGACCTGAACATTTTTACCCATTCCCTCAGTACAGTGTAAGCTCCCTGAAGGCAAATGCCATTTCATTTTTGTTTTTCTATTTCCTAGCACTCAGTAGGTGTTTAATGTTTCCTGAATTAAAAACCCCCACCTCTTCCCATCAGAGCTCTTCAGAGCTGAGGTCATGGGTCAGCAGTAGACCTCCTTTAGTTAATCTTAAATCAGCTGGTTTATTTCTGGGTTAGGTCTAACTCAGGCCAGTTCCCTCAGTAGTTTAAATTTGATGGAATACAAACTCTTTGAAATTAGGGAATCTTTCTTCTTTTATCACTAGGGCCTAACACAGTGCGTGGCAAATGTGCTTAATATTTGTTGAACGATACTGGAACAAAAGGAGACACCATTAGGTAATTCAACAGTAATTCACAGATTTACTTAGCCACAGCAGGAGGATATTCATCAGACATTTGGCAAGCATACTACTCACTGATTCAGCTGAACAGAGCCCCTTGTCTCAGTTGTCCTTCCTGGTCCACCAGCCAAGCATCAAAAAGCACCTGGAGCTTTTTGTGGCTATTTTGTACCCAGGTGGCCAGGAAGTGATGACTATCAGTAAGGGCCTTTAGTCTCCTCAGCCAATCAGGTCTTGAAGATAGTTTCAATACTGCTTAAGGAAATGTTAGCCTACCTAAAATGAGGCAGGGAATTAGGATATTGTTCCCACCATAGCATATCAACTTCATCTCCTCTGTCTTCCTAAACAGTATAAATTATTAAACAACTGTGACTGTTACCCAAACTTGAGAAGGTATTAAGGTAAAGCTTGTGATACAGCATTCTTGGTAATGCTGTATATATGCATCAGAAATGTGTCATGTTGATTATACTGAATCTTTTGCTCTGTTGTGCGTGAAAGATGAAATGATTGAGGAAAAACAAAGGTTTGATCTTCTAAGCATATTGATTTATTAAGCAATGCATGCCACTTACCTAGCAAAGCAGGACCAGTCCTCCTCACCTTAGGCCTGGACCCCAAATACAGAGGGAGACAAGACTTAGACACCAAAAACAATTAATAAAATAAGGTTAATTAATTAAAAAGAAACAATACAATATTAGGTAATCTGATTTCTAACTGGAAGAAAGACTAAGGATTTGCCAAGTTGGGAAGGGGAGAGTGAACAAAAAATGAGGTGTCCTACTCTCGAAGTATCTGCAAACAGCCAAGGGAAGATAGAAACAATAACTGATTGATTAGTACAGGGCCAGTTTTCAAATAAGACATATGAACTGCTTGAGATACACAATTGTGAGAAAACTCCTTGCACCAATCTTTGGATCTGACTGTGTTTCTGATCAGCATAACCCTGATCCTTGGGTAAGGGTCTCTGAACAGCAGGTAGAGGTGGTCCAGTTTCCCAGTCACACAGGGCTAAGTTCAAACAATGCAATAAGGTTTTCTCACAATTCCCACAATTGAATAAAGTTTTCTCACAAGCCAGAATTTGGACTAGACCCAGAAAGGGAACTGAGCTAGCTCCAGAATTGAGTCACAAGATGGAGTCAGTGTGATTCACTCAATTCCCACAATTAACCACTTGTGCTAATCCCCTCAATTCCCTCAGCTCAGGGCTCAGAGCTCAGACCTCTGGTATTTAGCATGTTCATCAGTGTTCAATTTAATGTTTAAGCAGGTCTCTTTGAGGGTAGTATGGTGACTGGACTTCTTGACTTCTGTCAAAACTAACATATCCCATAACACTTTATACACTGTGAAGTTTTCTGGCTCTTGGTTGGATATGATTGTGCATACTGGGTGAAATAACGTGTCACTTCCAGGACACTGCTTATAGTCAGTCCTATTTTCTTCCAGAGACAAAAAATCTACCTGCTCCAGACAGAGGCTTGCTAACGTTGTACAAGTATGCAGTTATGAATTGGTAGAATTTCCATTAAACATAATGAACTCATACTTTCCACAAATACCTGCTACAATCTTGTTTTGTACTATTCTCAGGGTCATCCGTTTACCTATGGGTTCAAAATATCTTGTAGTGCTTTTATGGCAATATAGCGAAATACTTTAGGTACTTCCTGGTGCCTTCCAAGAGACCACTTAAAGACTAATATAATCCTTGTTTAGCTCCAACTTCTGCCATTCTTTCAACTGCAGGGTACTCTCTGGATTAAGAAACTTGAGTCCCTGAGGATTACACCCTTATTTCATGGCCTGTATCACTTTCACATGATTCAGGCTTGGCAGGGGAGGGGGAATGGGAGAGTGGGTTGGGAAGAAGTATAAGCTAGACTCTGGTGCTAACCTCCATGGAAAAATTTCAGCTATGTGCATGCTGATGCTAAGCCCCATAGAGAATGGAGGGTTTCTGAGCCCCAGTGTGTATGAAAAATCAGAGGGTGTTCAAGGACCCCAGGATAGTGGGAATTGCTTATGGTTCATTGCAAGAGTGCCTGGGTTCTTAATAAGGACAACTACAAATAAATGAAAGTGACACACTCTCCCAAACAACAACAGTATTTACATAACATAGCACTTTGAGGTTTGCAAAGCACTTTATTTCATTTAATCCTCACAACTACTATGTGTGAGATAGATATATATATGTAAAAAAAAAAATGCTATTTTTTAGCCCCATTTTACAGATGAGGAAACTGAGGCAGAAAGCAGTTAAGTCACCTGCCAGGTCTTCCCTACTTGAAGTTCAGTGCTTTAGTCACCTTGCGTGTTTCATTCCTACATGTCAACAAATCAAGTCAATAAGTACTTATATAGTAGAATACAATAAACACTGATTAAGTACCTATTATGTGCTAGGCACCAATGCTAAGCAATGGGGATACAAATAAGAAAAAGACAATTCTGACCACAAAAAACTGACAATCTAATGGGAGAAGACAACACAAAAAAAGGAAGCTGAAAGGAGGGAGTGGAGGGGCGGCTACCAGGGTAAGGGCATGATGATTATGATGATGGTGATGGTGGGAAATTTTGAACTGGCTGGGCTTCTAAGCTCTCTTTACACAGAGGCTTTGGGGGAAGTTTTTTGGTCTGCCCTCCAATCTGAGGAGCAGAGGCAACTGAGGGTACTGATGAGGTGTGAGTATCAAAGCTGATGCAATCTCTGGTGATGGTGAGCCTCCTGCTGATGAGCTATTCCTGGTGGAGAGGGAATGAATGATGGATGATGGTGGAATCAATCCAAAGAGTGTGGATGGTGGGAAATGAAGTTGGTGCAGTTGCTGAATCTTCTTTAAACACAGGCTTTGGGAGTTTTCTGTTCTCATTTATTAAGCAGGTATTATATGCCCAGGCATTATGCTAAAATGCTGAGGTTATAAGTACAAGCAAAAATACCCCAAAACAAAACACAGTCCCTGCTCTCAAGGAGTACCCATTTTAATAGGGGAAGGCACTATCTCAAAAGAAATTTCTAGAAGTAGTGGGGAGGAAGGGAGGAGGTGGAAAAAGAAGTCTGGCGACTCCAAGCAGAACATGGAGACAGATGAAAGAGTGAACATGGGCTGACTGGCCTGGGCACTTTCCTTAAAATAGAAGCTCTGGGAGGGACTAATCAATCAGAGGCAGGGACTGCAGGGGTGGAGGTATTTCCAGGATGAGAAAGCTATAGGGATAGAGTGAAGTTCCAGAGTGAGAAGTCTGCTGTGTCACAGTTGAAATAGAAATCTGGAGAGTCAGGAGGGAAGCCTGGGCAGACTTTTCAGCAAACCTTGGACCTGACCAATACATCTTCTGTGTTGGCACAAATTCCTTTACATGCAAGTGTAATTAAGCTTAGGAAACAGTATTTAAGATTAGTTGAAACGGCCAAGTAGGTCAAGATGTCCAATCTTAAGGACATAACTATTTTTGGTCAAAGTCAGAGTAGGAATAGTTCAGACACACAAATGAGATTGTGGATCACTGGTAAAGTTTTATGAAGAAGATTGTGTAAATTCAGACTGTCCAGAGCCCCTTCCATGTCTATGAATGGTCCTAGCCCTGAATATGAAACTTAACAGTTAAGTCTCTGCTAGATTCATGGGGAACTGAATCTAGCCCTTGGTCTTACTGAACTCCACAGGAACTATGTGGCAGCAGGTTCAACAAAGTTCTTTCTGCTGCCATGATCCTGACTGGCATGCAAACGATCTTAGTGGCAAGAGCAAAAAGCTAGGTGGAGCAGGTAGGGCCATGGCTCATGTTTTACATTTATGTCTTTATAATCTATAGATGCCAGGGACTAAATCGCTGACTTTTAAAATGCACTCTGATAAGTTCAAAAGTGCTAGTCTCTTTATAAGAGCTGGCTTTGTCGAGGCAAGGGAGTGAAGGTGGGGGACATGCACATTTCATCTGAAATGAGATAGACCCTGGAATAAAGGAGATTAGAGGAGACATTATGGTCTGATTGAATTAATGAATTTGGAAGACTAAGTAGTTTTCTGAAATAGCCTGGTTTCCTGATTAGGTTTGGGAGACTGCACCTTTTGACTTGCAACTGGGAACTTCATATATGTATTGTCTCCAATGAGAATGTGAGATACTTGAGAGCATGTATTACCTATTTGTAACTCCAGTTTATTTTTTAAAATACATTTGTATTGATACATTTTTACATTGCAACTCCAAAAGACAGGTAATCTTACTCATTTTATGGAGATTCTTATTAGCTTAAATTTCCAAGAGGTTATCTGGCCACTGCAGGACCCTACTATGCTACTACAACCTAAAAAGACCATATAAAGAATTATAGGAGGGGCAGCTAGGTGTCACAGTGGATAGAGTACCAGCCCTGGAGTCAGGAGGACCTGAGTGCAAATCTGACCTCAGACCAGACATTTGACACTAGCTGTGTGACCCTGGGCAAGTCACTTAACCCCAATTGCCTAAAACAAACAAACAAAAAAAACCAAAAAAAGAATTATAGGATAAGTATACGTTTATCCACATAAATACATAGATTAAGAAGCTAAATGAAGGAATGTATATTTTTATATGTTTAAGTGTTGTTTTTTTTTCTCTTAGCTATGCAGGTCCAATCTGGAGAAACTCATTCTACCAACCGCTTGGAGAACTTAGAAGATATAACTTCTTCTCAACAGTCATTGAAGACTTCTGGAAAAGGCTTCACAAGGAGTAGGGTAAATAATTATAATTCAGAAACTCCAATGACTTTCAGTTGCTTTAGCTGTATTTTTTCCTTCATAAGGGAAAATTACCTTGGTTTAAATATCTCCATAAAAATTGTGTTTGGTAGGCCTGCTGCAACCAAAGTTAGCAAAGGAAATGCAAAACATGAATCAAAGAACATTTGCTTAAGCACTCCTCAAGCACCTACTATGTAGGAAGCAACTGAGGAGTTACTGGGCTAATAAAAAGAGTTGTGTATCTACCCTAAAAGGACTTAACACATAAGCATAAAATTTTAAAAGTATATTATCAACAAGTGGAAATAAGAGAGATTGAAAACAGGATTGCTAGGGCATGTAGATGATATTAGAATTGGGTGGGGTTGGGAAGGCTTCTAGAGATAAGTTACAGGGTAAACTTTGAAAGAAAATCAGAACTGGATAAGTTGGTGAATGGAATTGCCTGAGCAAATGACAGAATAAAGAGCATGCTGGGGATCTGAAGCAGATTGGTTAGGCTGAAGTAAAGACAGCTGCCAGACTTAGAGCTTGCATTAAGATTAAGCATTAAGAAATTGCATTCAAATCTTGGCTCTACTACTTACTGTGATTTTGGACAAATTGCTTAACCTTTCTGATTCTGTTTCCTCATTTGAAAAATGAGGTGTGTGGGGCTGGATGATCTGAAAAGGTCTTTTCCAACTCTATCCATCTCCTATGAGGTATATACTCAATGTCTTGTGGACCTCACTCAGGAAAATGTGTAAAGAGACAAATTATGTTCTTTTGAGATGGAAGAAATAATCTATAGCTTTATAGCTTAGAATGTATTATTTCTAAATGTTATGATATACCTCAGATGGTCTGGAAAAAGTTAGAATGTAATTCTCAATGAGCTTAAAATGTCAAGATGGAAAAAAAAAAGGTTTGTACTATGGCAGAATTAGTATACAGTTTTCATGACTACTTTTAACTAATTGTTTGTTCAGGGTGATAGCTGATAAAATTCAATGAAACTTATATATTTTTAGTTGTTTTTATTTATTAAAAAAAAAACTATCTTTAAAGACAAATAATCAAATAAAATACAAAGGAAGCACAATTTTATGTAAAAATTTTAGCATCTGACAAAGCATAAGCAAATGAATTAACCTAAATCCTTGAGAAGTTGTTACCTTTCCTTTTGTTTTTTCTCTCCCTCTCTCTCTTTAGAAAAACGTTGGCACACGTGTCATGTTGGTTCTCCTGATCTTGCTCTACAATGCCTGTTCTATATTTCCTTATGTGCTTCATAAATTTTTTTTTAGTTCTGTGGTGAAAAAATTAACATTATTCTTCTTTCCTTGTTTTTATAGAGTTTAAAAATTCTACGAAATGTGAAAAAGAGTAAGTTTTAAAAAATTATTATTGACAATTTAGCATTTCTAATCCCAGGTAGAGCTACATCTGATAGTACAAGTAAATTGGAGAAGTGATCCCAGGCCCTGTGCTTTGGATTGCTGATACTGAGCCTTAGAGAGGAAAATGTTAAGAGAAACTTCCTTTTAATAGAGAGGAATAATCATTTTGTTGTTGTTGTTGTTGTTGTTAGGCAATGTGGTTAAGTGACTTGCCCAGGGTCACACAGCTGGTTCTAAGTGTTATGTGTCTGAGGCCATATTTGAATTTAAGTCCTCCTGAATCCAGGGCCTGTGCTCTATTCACTTTGAGGAATAATCATTTTTATAATGTTTGGCTCTGTACCCATCCTAAGATGCTCTAACATAAGAATGTTATTTAAAACTCTCAGCAACCTAACCTCAGATGTGTTCTTTTTGAAAACAGTCATAGCAAAGCATATTGTGAACCAAATGTGTTGTCTTATGAAATAGGCCAAGCACTGACAAGTTTTCAAATTTCACAAAGTATTATTAGCAGCAAGGGCCTGTTGTTTACCATTGTGCTAAAATGTGATGAAAATAAAACCCACAGGCTCCTGCATGTGAAAAATTGTCTCTACAAGCATATATCTCTTACATATTTCTGAACACAACTAGAAATACCTGGCCAAAGATGACAAAACATGATTATAGGCTCGTCAATAAATTCAGTAAGTTAACATTTTTTGTGGACATTTTAGAACCCCAAATTTCTTTGGCTTTATACTAGCTCCTCTTTGGTTGGGGTGTACAACATGATAAAGCCTTGGTAATTTAGCACAGGACAGGATTAACATCCACAGAGAAACACAGAGCTCTTTCTAAGCCTAAAGCTTGTCAATCACTGTTGACACCATGGTAACTGGCCCCTAGAGCTATGCTGATCCCCCTACTTAATGAAAGTGTAGGAAAATTCCCTTTACTTGTTAGTTCAGACAAGACAAAGTTGCAAATTTTCAAAATGAATTTTTACCAGGAAAACTAAAGGAAAATAACATTGATATGATTATTCAGTCATTTTCAGTCCTATCTGACTCCTCATGACCCCATTCTGGGTTTTCTGAGCAAAGATACTAAAGTGGTTTGCCATTTCCTTCTCCAGCTCATTTTACGGATGAGAAAACTGAAAAAAAAAAAACAGGGTTAAGTGACTTGCCCAGGGTCACATAACTAGTAAGTGCCTGGGGCTGGATTTTAACTCAGGAAGATAAGTCTTCCTGACTCCAGGCCTGGCATCTCCACTGCACCATCTAGCTGCTCCACTGATATAAATAAGTTTATAGAATACTATAACAACCCACATTTATAAATTGACTTAAGTTCTGCAGAACACTTTGCTTGTAACAATCCAATGAATTAAGTAGTTATATCAAGTGCTAATACCTACATGTTACAGAAGAGGAAAGTGAGCCTCAGAGGTTAAAAATGCCTTGTCCAGAACTGTACAGCTAATAAGTACCTGAGGTGGAATCCAAACTCAAAGTCTCCTCATTCCCAAGTCCAACACTACTGTACAAGATACACCACCATGCCATGCTGCCTCAGATCACCGGCCCGTGCCTTAGTCCAAAATTAATACAAAGAATGGTCAGACTGGCATAGTTTATGTGATGCTTAGTTCTGTACCTTTCCCTGACCTCAATTCTGAGAGGCTAAAAAACCCAAACCAAGCAACAAAACCCCCAAACCCTTACATTCAAATCTGAGGTGGATTTGGCTTGCCACTCCTGTCTTGCCTGGGGAGATTTTTCTTTGTTTTCAAGCATTGACTTTAGAGACTATTCCTTCATTTCTCTTGTAGTGGTCTCTGAATTCTAGCCCCAGAAATCCTATCCTGGTCCTGATCAGTTTGGCTTTCCTGAAATTCAGTGAACTCCCAGTTACACTCCCCCAGGAAGCTACACTTCCTTGCCTATGATCTGAGGTCAAAGGTTCTCTTTGTTGGGAGGCTACTGGGGCTGCTGTTAAGAATTGGTCTTACCAAGAGATGGGCCAGCTAACCTGCTGCTCCACCCAGACCTTGTGAACTCTCTGCAATGAGCCGGTACACCAAAGAGACCAGGCCTGGCCTTTACCTTTGAGGTTTCAGAAACTCCACTTGATTTCCCAGGGGGTGGAATATGAAGTGCCCTGGACTGGGGTCTGGAAGGCCAGGGCCTGTGGTCCTGTTGGGCTACTTAGAGCTGTGTGATTGTGGGTATGTCACTTTAGCTCTGGACATAAAGATCTTCATTTGTAAACTGGCATAATACTGAACTAAGTCACAGGATTGATAAAAGGAAAATGCTTTGAAAACCTTAAAATATTCTGGGTTATTCTAAGTTAAAATGTGAGATGTATTTGGTCCAATAACTTGTGGTCTGCTCAGGGCACGTCTTCTGGGTAGCAGAGACCAAATTATAAAATCAGGAAGTTCCTGGGTGAGTACAGATTTAGAACAAAGGAGGAAAGTGCTCTTAAGGCATATTTTAATCAAGCTGTGGTAGCTTATTAAATAGTCACAAAGTTGAAAAGAATAGCTAAAATGCTGGATGAATGAGTCAGGATCCAAAAAGAGGCTGAATCAATTAAAATTAAATTTAACAGGGATAAATCACATTTGAATTTAAAAAAACCTCCACAAACAAAATACAGGAGAGATGAGGCTCAATAGTAGATTATCTGAAAAAGATCTGGGAGTTTTGGTAGCTTGTAATCTCAGTAAGTCAACAGCATGAAATAACAACCAAAAAAAGAATAATGTGGTATCAGACTTAAGAAAGGCAGAATCCAAGACAAAAGACATGACAGTCTTGCTATATTTGGGTCTGGTCAGACCACATCTAAAGTATTCTAGGCACTACATTTTAGAAAGGCGTGGATTTTTAGAAAGTTGGAGAATTTCCAGAGGAGGGCAACCAGGATGGTAAAGCGCCTAAAGATCATTCCAGATAAGAATTGGTTGAAGGAACTGAGAATGTTTAGTTTGAAGGAGAAGCTTGGGGAAAAGAACACAATACCTGTCTTCAAGTATCTGAAGAGTTGTCAAGTAGAAGGGTAAGATTAAAGTTTTTCTGTTTAGCCACAGAAGAGAAAACTAGAAGAAATGAGAAATTGTATAGAAGTAAATTTAGTGGCAACTAGGTGCCGCGGTGCATAAAGCACTGGCCCTGGGGTCAGGAAGATCTGAGTTCAAATCCAATTTCATACAGATAACACTCACTTGCTGTGTGACTCTGGGCAAGTCACTTAACCCCAATTACCTCAACACCACCCCCCGAAAAAGTAGATTTAGCCTTGTTAAAAGAAAATATTTCTTAAACCTAAAAACAAGCTACCCCAAAGTAGTATCGGCTACCATAGGAGTTAGTAGATTCCTGCTCACTAGAGGTCTTCAAATCAAAATTCAGTGATCAATTGTGTGGCAGGCTGTTGCAGGTATTTTTGTTCAGTAGAGGATGGATTAACTGGGGTCTCTGATGTATTTTTCTAACTCTTGAGATGCATAAGATAATTATACTCCATGAATATTTTTGTTGAAGAATTGTTACTGGTAATCTAAAATTAGGACACCTCTCTTTTCCCCCAACCACCCTAGACAGTTCTGGAGATACACACATTGTTAATACAGCACTTCAACATGTTTTAAATTACAAACAGAATCACAAAAAAAAAGAAATTTAAACATACAAAGAACAGAAAAGGTTTTTATAATAAACTAAAGCAAAGTAAAAAGAAAACTCAGTAATCCATCAGTCATCAACAACTTGTGATCCATGACAAACTAAAATTTCCAAGATTAAAGATAATCTTAGTTAACTACATTCTAAGCTTAGCTTTCCTTTTTAAGGAGGTACACTATCACATGACTAGACTCTATAGTACACATGATAAAAGAGGGAGTTTTACCTCAAAACTATCAAGAATTCATTTTTCAATGACCTAGTTTCAGGGCTTCATCATAATAAATCCCCACAGAGATGTTCTGTGCGCTCATCCCAGAGCTGAGTAACCAACAGTATCCAGGACACATAAGACTAAATGGGGAAATGTGGACTTTGTCTCACATACAAAAGTGAAACTACCAGACCTACATCTCCCCTCACCCCACCCCTCCTTTGTCTCTTAGTACTGGGGCCCTAAAGCAGGTCCTAAGAACAATCACTCACTTCTAATTATAATTGAGTGAGTAGAGCACAAACATAAGGGCTGATCCCCACAAAGTATTACTTTGGGGCACGATGGGCTCCTGTTCTTTCCCACTCTTGTATTTTCACCACAAAGCTTCCCTACACGTGCTGACGTTAAGTAATACCCTGGTCTTATAAAATAAGACATTATAAAAAAAACTTTTTTTAAGGGTAGTTTGCTCCTACAGCAAAGGATAATTAAATTGTTTTATGCTGATTTTTGTTAGCTTCTGTTTCAGAGGATAATATTTTCTGATCTTGTTCAATCAATTCTAAGGGTATACAGTCTCTCAAGCACCACCTACAGTAAGCTTCAAGTTCCTTTGAGCCAAACTTTCAGTCCCTTTGGGCCTGCCCAGTAAGACCCTCTGTGGTTAGGAGGACACCTCAAGTTTCTCAGATTATAACAGAGCTGACTGATGGCCACAGAAGAGGTTTTTGGGCCCTGGCCATTTCCTCAGGTTCTTTGTGATGTCTCATCATTCCGGTAACTCTGGAGGAAAGGGTTTTCCCAAAAACCCAAATTCATCATTATACTTACACAAGATAAAAAAATACTTTAACACATATGATGATATAAATAAGTGGGTCATCATTACATTTACATTTGTACATACAAGTAGTACAGGCAATTCTATCTGCTGTCCTCCATATGGACACAAAGCATAAGGTTGAAAATTAACATTTAGAACTTTTAAATTATTGTTTTGTTTAGAAAGTCTGTATAAGCCTATATTTACTATTTTCATTCTATATAGTGTCTTGTGCAGTGGCAGTAAGGCAAAATGCTTACTATGTTTAAATTAGGCTATTTTTGCAGACTGTCATAAAAAATAGGAGGGTAAAGCATGAAAAAAGATGTTTTCAGGTAGTGTTGGGTGAGCGTATGTGAATATGGAGCAGCAAGAAGTGTAGGCTGCATATAAATAACTAAAATGGGGGGAAAATCTTATCTAGCCAGAAAGACTTGCTGGGAATAGAAAGAGGGATGATGGGAAAGACATACACTGGCAAATAGAATCAATCAATCAATAATCTTTTTGCCAGGCACTGGAAATAGAAAGAAAAAGCAAAAATAGTCCCTGCCTTCAAAGAACTTAACATTCAAATGGGGGAGACTGACAGATATGTAACACGTACATATTTACATGTCTGTGTATGTGTGTGTATATAACACTGTTAAAACACTGTAAACACAGAGAGTAGAGGACGGCTGACTTAGGGAAGGGTTTCCCCTTTGGGGTGGAGGGGAGGGGGCAAAAAGGCCTCTTATATGAGATAAAGCTTAAGCTAAATCTTAAAAGAAGCTAGGCATTCCAAGAAGCAGAGATTTGGACGGAGAGCATTCCAAGCATGGTGGAAAGCTCAGGCAAAGGCATGGGTAATGGAGATGGAATGTCACCACATATGAGAAAACAGGGAGTGGGCCAGTATGGCTTTAGCAGAGTAGTGCTGGGGGCTGGGAAGGAGAGGCTGGGGAGGCAGACAGGAAAGATAGGAAGCAGCATATTAAGAACTTTAAATGCCAAGCTGAAGCATTTATATTTTGCCCTATAGGTAACAGGGGACCATTGGAGTTTATTGACTTGGGAGGAGGGGAGATGTGATTTGACTTACACTTTAGGAAAATCACTTTGGTGAATAGAGGGCTAATGTAAGAGAAAACATGGAGACTGCTTGTGGAGGAATGAATGAATGAATATAGGAAATAACAAGGATAGTAACTGAGAACAAAGTAAGGTGCAGTTCATGATACAGAATTTTGAAACCCAAAGTTAGATTTTTATAAATCCTCAAATGAAAAAGATTAATTATAAAAGTTTTACTGCTAAACACTTTGTTTCCTGCTGAATCTTTAGTTTTTACTAACTTCACTGCAATGAAATTAACTTATTTTTGTAGTTCAATTAGAAGATTTTATGGTTTTAATCTAATAGGCAAAGACATTTTGTGATACATGATATGATGATGATACATACCTTCTTGGGCATGTAATAGTATAATTTTCATTTGTAGTTCTACAAAGAAAGATTATAGGGATTAACTAAGTCAGTGGAGAATTGTGTTTAATAGTTGGACTATAGATAGGGAAGTCTCATTCCGTGGTCTGAAGAACCTTTCTTTCCCTGAAACCTTTCCTATATTTCCAGGTATCTCATCGCAACCAGTCAAGTCAGCAGAATCCATACAATCAAATCATTCTAGTTCCTTTCTGAACTTTGGTATGTGTTATTCTGGAGTTACTTCTTAATAGTTTTGGCCAAGTTGTGTGTATTGAGCATATGTCTTTATACTGTGACTTTATCTTAAAGTGACAAATAGACATCTTATATTTATCTCATAATTTTGAGACTTCTGTTGCCTCTTAACTCACTCAAGGATGGATTGCTCAGCACATTTTGGAAATTAAAATTAGGCAAGTGGATACCTGTTTAGTATGTGGTAGATAAATATGCAAACTAGATAAAGGAGAATATAGATTTTGTAATTGAGAAGTCCAGTTCATGGCTAAAACAAAGTTATAATGAATTTCCACGTATGATGAAAATAATTACTGCTACATGAGTTTGTGAAAGTCACTAAAAAATAGAAGATAAAGTAGCTTCAGTATCTTAAAAACATGGTAAGGCAATTATTCACCCAATTATAAACATTACATATCTATAATTGTATAGTGATCATCTGGTATTATTTCAAACATCCTATTATTTACTATATCCATGGTACTTATTGTACTACTGTAGACTGTCATTTAGTAATGTTTATGGCAATTAATGGAGAATATTATTACTAAAGGATATCATTAACCAAAAAGCTTAGCATGAACCAAAAGTGCTTAGACATTTTATGGATGAAAGTAACTAGCATACAAGCCTATAAAAGCCTGACTGAATCCTGTTTGTCTTAATACCTTGGTTATTTTCAGACAGAAACTTTTCTTAGAACTAAAATGTTTCTTATATTTATTTCAATTTTGTCTGCATCTCACCTTTTAAATAACTGGAATAATAATTAAGCAATCACTTCAAAGTTCTACTCTGATACCTCATTGTGAGGTAGCACTAACCTAGCCTTCTTAAAAGTTCTGCTAGGGGAGCATAAGCTCTAGTCAAGCCAGAAAGGCTTTGAGTAAGGGTCCAGCAATAGGCTGTCACTAAGGTCTACCCTAGTGAAGTCAGAGAAGTTCTATGATACAAGAGCCATCAGCAGAGGTGTGCAAGGTATGTGCCATACCATTTCATTCAGTTCCTCTTGTCTTTTACCTAAACTCCTGTAGTAATTTCCTAATTAGTATCCCAATTTCTCCAAATCATCCTCTAAATAGCAACCAAACTAATATTCCTGAAATACAGATCTGACTCAAAAAATTTTCAGTTACTCCTTATTGCCTCTAGGATAAAGTACAAAACTCTCAGCCTATCACTTTAAGCCCTTTGCAATCTAGTCCCCATCTACTTTTCCACTATTAAATGAAGGGGTTAGAGTAGATTTTAAGGATCCTTCTACCTCTCAAATTCTACTATTTATAATTCTACTGAAACCATCTGCTTCAAAGCTTTAAAATCTCAGTAAGAGAAACGCTCACAATATGGTTGGATCCATTTATAAGTCATCTCTAACTAATTTATAACTAGCTGTGTTACATACTTCCAGTTTTCCAGCATCTCTGGAGGTTGCGCACTGCCTCCTTCCTTCAACTCTTCAGCTTACTGGTCTAGAAGCAAGGTCTTAAACCAAGGTTGCCACCTGCTGACCAATGTGAAGAACTGTTTGACCTACCATTCTTCCCCACCACTTTCCTTCTGCCCTCTCGGAGATTATGACGCCTGGGATTCCACTGTTTCCCCCACTCATAGGAAAGGCATTCAGAGTTTCTTTCATACCCATACCCATCCTTTTTACCCTACTTCTATTACTATCTGCAAAGGTAATTTCAGAATTATTTTTCCTAAAGTACAAGTCTGACCATGACATATTCTCTTTTCCCATTCAAAAAACCACAAACTCCCGTGGCTCCTGATTGCCTCCAGCCTTCAGGACCAAACAAAAAAAATCCTTTGTTTAGTGTTCAAAGCTCTTCATGACCTACCCCCCTCTACCTTTCCAGTCTTCTCCCATCTTATTCTCTCTTAAGAGACAATGGTCTTCTTGCCGATCCATGAACAAGATATTACATCTCTCTGCTCCCGGCTGTCCCCTATGCCTGGAATGATCTCTCTCTTCATCTCTGCTTCCCAAGGTTTCCCTGGTTTTCCAAAATCCTACTTCCTACAAGAAGTCTTGCCAACCACTTCTAATTCTAGTGCCTTCCCTTAATTATTTCGTATTTATCCTTTATATAGCTTATTTGTCCATATTTGTTTGTTTCTCTCCCTTGATAGACTGTAAGCTCCTAAAGGGCAGAGACTGTCTTTGCCACTTTTTGTATCCTCCCTGCTTAGTTTAGCACACCTCTTAGCACAGACTAGGAGCTTAATAAATGTTTATTGATTGATTGTACACACACATACATACTCATTTCTTTCTTCTCTCTTCCAAATCTAGCCTGTAACTTAAGAAAACTTCCTACTCTCTTTTCATTTTTTGTGTGGGGGGGGGGGGGGGGGGGGAAGGGGAAGAAAATAAGGCAAGGTAGAGGTGGTAGGTAGAAAGACTGGTAGCCTTGGAGTCAGAAATACCTGGGCTCAAGTGTCACTTGTGACATATATCTAAAGATAAAAATCTGTTTAACTTCTGGGTTGCTCCAGGAAACTGAACTGACTGCTCATTATATATCAGTCGCTGTCTGCAACACTAAAAGGCGTTTACAAGGAATTTCCTACATGGATTAAATCACAGGTCCAGACCAGAAACAACCAAAAAAGCCTATCTATGACCACACAGTTAATAATTCTGAGATGGGGATTCAAACTGGTCTCCCACCTTTTAAAGTATTCTCCTCTTGTACCCAAAGTACTCCAACTACCCCAAAGACCTCTCAAAACCCATTTAAGTTAATGGTTCTCTATAATGAAACTGAGAGAAAATCGCATTTAATGTGGCATTTTAAAAAATAAATTTTGATGTTATATCAAATTTTATTTTTATCTGAAATGGAAATTTCTTAGTATTTGAGGAGAGCAGGGATTGAGGAATATGATACTTGGCTTTGTGGTACTTAAATATCCTGTCCATGAATAACCAGAAACTGCTATACAATTATTATTATTAAAATTTTAAATGGTTTACTAATAATATGAATTATTAGAATGTGATTATGATTAATTTTCATTTAAAATTACTGTCTTAATATCAATTTTGCTGTACTTGTTAAAATGTCAACTAATGAATAAAAGCTTTAACATAATTCAAATATATATATATTTATACATATCACAGAATCTATTGGGTTTTCAAAGATCATTTAATTCAGTCCTCCATGAGATGCATGAGAAGTAGCTTAAACACTTTCAGTACATGGAAAGTCAAGATCTTATTAGGAAGCCTATTCCATTTTCAAGAAAAAGGGGAAAATTGAAATTTCCCCAAGTCATCAGTTATTAATAATCATTTCTCTCAGGATCTTTCCTGATATGAAGCTAAAAGCTCCCTTCCTGTAATTTTCAGAAATGGTTTTAGTTTTGTCCTCTAGAGCCACAGAGAAAATAGTGACAACTCAAACTTATTAAGCCCTTTAAATTTATGGTTTTTGTCACAGCAATCCAGTGAAATCAGGTTATGGATTAAGACACAGCACCAAGGAGGTTAAGTGGCATGTACACAAGTGCATGGCAGGTAAATATCAAACAGAAAAGAGGTCACTTAAGTGAGGATCCTTGCAGGGAGCCACTTAGAAAACCACATATTAGCATTACCTACGTTGTGTTATATTTTAATTTATTGTTAAATATTTCCCAATAACATTTTAATCTGGTTCAGGCTGCACTAGAGAGCACTGCTGTTGCCCGATACCATTGGTCTGGATGACTCCACTGTCCCTTCTAGCTCTAAATCTATGAACCTATCGCAGACTTTTCTTTCGATCCCCAGAGCCAGTTTGGCACAGAAAGCGCTTAAATGCCTGCTAACTGACTTATGACAATTGCCAACATCCTCTTAACTGCCCTTCTTGGTCCCAACTTAATTTTATCAGGGTCCTTGCTAAAATGCAGCACTCAGAACTGAGCACAGTCTTATAGGGCCAGTCTAACAAAGACAGCGTGAGTGGGCCTATTGCTTCCGTTCTTTTGATATTATAACTTCTATTAATGTAGCTTTAGATCATGAGCTTTTTTTTTTAGCAGCTAAGGGCCATATGCATATATAATATTTGACATTTTCTTTCTTCTAGGTTTTGCAAACCGTTTTTCAAAACCAAAAGGACCAAGAAATCCGCCTCCTACGTGGAACATTTAATCTGACTTCCAACGAGCATTCAGAAGAATGCAAATTGGAATTTGCCGTGTAAGAGAGCATTGTGGTCAAACAAAAACATCAGAATGCTGCCAGATGAAATAAATGTGCTCTATAATCACCATATAACCAATGAAGTGATATGCTAATGACACAAATGGCTTTAAAACAAAAGAGATGCACAGATATGTACAACATTTTGGGATTTTCATCTTATTTACATCTAGTTAGAAGTAACTAGTTGTATTTAGAGGTTTGAGAATGGATTTTTTTTCACTTCTGAAATGAAACTATTCTTGTATATGATGTGGTAATAAGGTTTGCAAAAATTGAATGTTAGATATTATTTCCTTATAGTGCTGGCTCTGTGTCACTTAGGGAAGTGACTCAACTTGTCTTGGCATCAGTTTTTTGTCTATAAAATGCAAATAATTATACTAGTCTTGCACATCTACCTACAAGATTGTTGTGGGGAATAAAAAATCCATATAAAAGTCCTTTGAAAATGTAAAGTGCTACTTAAATATAAACTGGTATTATTAGAAACTTATTGTTATGGTTTCCATTAAGAATTAACCCAATTAATTACTTTCTTTTTTTTATATTCACCCAACAAATAAGACAAAAAAAAAGGACCTGAACAAAACAAGACAAAACAACATATACCCTAGACAAAACAGTAATACCTAACATCTATAGAGCACCTACTATGTACCAGACCCTGTGCTAAGCTTTACAATTATTATCTCATTTGTTCCTCACAATAACTCTGTGAGGTAGATGCCATTATTATCCTCATTTTACAGGTGAGGGAACTAAGGCAAAAAGAGGTTAAATGACTTGTTCACTTGGTCACACAGCTAGTAAGGGTCTAATGGTTGATTTGAAATCAGGTCTTCCTGACTCTAGGCCCAAGTGCTCTACGCGCTGCACTGCCTAGCTGCCCCTCTAATACATATGCACACGTTACCGAACATTAATGTAGAATCCAATATGGAAAAATTGAACACCAAATAATTAATAAAATATTCCTTGTCTTTTGAACAAAATACAGTTTTACAAAAGGGGCCTAAATGTAGGGAAAATACCATACCCAAAAAATCTATCCCCTTCCCTGTTCATCCATTTTACTGCACATATTATGATGGCATATGTGGTTATATCATTATCATCCTACAATGTATGAGTATCAGGACCCTTATTCTTCTGACAAATCAGTATTTTAAAAGATACTAAAAATGTAATGAAATTTTTCAAATTAATGTGCTTGTACTGTTAACCTACCACTAACTCCATGTTCAAACCAGAGACAGCTAGCGTTTTCAGATTTTAAATCCTGCAAAAAGGAGAAAAATCAGATTCTTTCCAGTTAGCAGGGAGACCATAAACGAATGAACACTTCCTATCCCATGTTTCCTCACCTCCATCTAATCTCAGGAAACAAAGAGAAAAGGTGGGGGGTCAGGGTGAGAAGGAACTACTTCACAAGTACTCAGATCAAGAACAATGTCTCTCTCTACTTGAAGTGGGAAAATGCACAGCTATTCTTTGTGACTGTCCTCATAGACAGATACAGAACTCCTTTTCTCCAGCACTTCCCTGCCTCAAATAGGGGGTAACTCTCTGTACAGAAGTACTACCAGAATACATGATGCCAAATGTTAATCCTACCTCAAGGTTGCAACCATTAGTTTTCTTCTTATCTTGAGAAGTTCAGGACCCCCAGAATTGACAATAGCCTCTCCCCTAGAGAAAATAATCCTTATAACCTCTGGGGGCTGAGAAATACTAGATCATAGAAAATATGGAAGTAAATGTAAAAATCTTGAAATAAATGACTGTGATACCAAATTGATTATTTATCTAGTAATTAAATTATTTTTGACATATCTGCAATAGGAAGGTGTTGTCCTTCAATTCAGCAAATATTTATTAATCCTGTGTAGGGTACTGTTGATTCTTTTAAGTCAGTGAAATAACCCTATTCATTCTGGAAAATCTTTCCTTGATTCCTTCTCCAAACATCCTCAAATCATACTTTCTTCTTCCATTTCTTATGGTACTTTGTCTATAACTCTCTAATCTACCTACCTTGAATTATGCTTTTCTGTGTAGATCTTATTCTGCCTCAAGTAGACTATCAGTTCCTTGAGGGCAGGAACTGTGTTTTTTATCTTTGTGTGTTCTATTTCTCACAACTAACTAGTGGACATTTAATAAATGTTTAAAATGAGCTATTTCTTTATTACCTTCTTAATTTAAGAAGTCCTCCCATTTGCTGTACTGAGAGCAAAGATATGACATTCTTTATATCTTTAAAGTTTCATCTCACATAATTTGTGCTCCAGCCAAAGTCCTCTATTCCACAAACATCTCATCTTTTCCCAATGGTGGGCCTTTGTTCAAGTTTCATGGTACTACAAGGAATGAAGGTCTTTCTGCTTATAGATATTCTCTCTATTCTTCATGCTCCAATACCACTTCCAGTCAGGAATTAATTTTCCTTTCTTGGAAGGTTCCTACTCAGCTATGAAGTTGTTATATTCCATTTGTATTAGTTATCTGTGAGGATGTTTTATTATTACTACTAGAAAGTAACCTCCTTGAGGATGGAGATTACGTCTTATTTTGTTTATCTTCTTCAGCTTCGTGAAGTACATTACAGGTCTTTAGTAAATGTTTATTGAAGTCGAACTTGTTGATTCAGAGCTACATTTTAGCAAAATTAATCTGGCAGTGAGGTTAAGAATGGAGGAAAAGATAGCTAGAAAGCTATAAAATAATTCAGGTAAAAGGTTAATGAGGCCCTAGATTAGGATGCTGTTGGTGAAAATGGAAAGATTTATCAAGCATTTCCATAGTGTGTTCAAATAATTCATTTAAAATTATTGTATAACAAAAATTTGATTTATGTGCTGAAGCAGTGTGGAACAAAAGGACTTATTAGGAGAAAGATCTGGATTTAAGTTTCAGACATGAGCTGCATGAGCATGACCAAATCATACACTGTGAACCTCAGTTTCCTCATCTATAAAATGAGGATAACATGTGCATGAAAAGCAGCCTGGCCTAAGTGAATAGAAGGACCCAGTCAGGAAAACCTGGGTTCATTCACTGTCTCTTCAAACATACAAAGCAAGACACTTAACCTCTCAGTGTCTGATGCAATTTTCTAAGACTCAATTGCCAAAAAATTTGCATTGGTATTAAGATTCCTTCACCTAAAGCTTTATAAATCACTGAAATCTCAGGTCCTCACTGAAACCCTCCTCAGCCCTCCCCTACCCCACCTATATAACTCCCTCACAAGATTGTTGTGAGGAAAGTCTGTAAACTTTTACACAGCCTTCAGAAACATATCTATTGTTTAAATGTAGATACATCATGACAATATTTTTCATGGAGCCTAACAAAACATTTACAAGTATTCTGTTTACTTAATACTCAAGTGGATCTGTAACCTCATTGATGTGAATATTCTTTGCATACAAGATAAATAAATGGTTACTGAATTCAAATGCTTAGTAGAGTTTTCTCCACATTCAATAAGTTTAAATAATTTTTTCTTAAAGTTCTTTGGAGTAAAGTTTTTATCAGTGAGGTTAAGGAAGCAGTGCTCTGGAAGCTAGGTATGGGTAGAGATCATTTAAAATTCAGGATCTCTGGGATAGCTAGGTGACACAGTGTTTAGAGCTCCAGCCTTGGAGTCAAGAGGACCTGAGTTCAAATGTGACCTCAGACACAGGATACTTACTAGCTGTGTGACTCTGGGCAAGTCACTTAACCCCGATTGCCTCACCAAAAAAAAAAAAAAATTCAAGATCTCTGGTTTCCTGACATAGGCAACTCCTTTCACTAAGTAAATTTTACTGACCTCACTGAGAGAAACAGATAAAGTGACTTGTCCATGGTCACACAGCCAATAAGTGTCAAAGACAAAAACTGAACTTAGGTCTTCCTGACTCTGTAAGTGCTCTATTCATTTGAACAGCTGATTTACCCCACTATAATAGCCACTCTTCTTCAATATTCACTCTCTATTTATTGGGCCCTTCTCAGAGGCTTATAAATATGCCTGTGTCTCCTCTTCTCAAAAAAACACTTACTTGATCCTACCATCTCTGCTATCATCTTAACATCTTTTCTGCCCTTAGCTAAACTCCTTGAGAAAGCCCCCTTCACTCACTGCCTCTACTTCTCTTAATTCTAAACTCTCTAATCTTGTTTCTGACCTAATCATTTAACTGAAATGAAACTTGATTTCTCTGCTGCCTTTTAACAGTGCCCCAACCTTTTTAGTCTCAGGACCTCTTTATACTCTTAAAAAATTATTGAGGATCCCCTCCAAAAAACAGCTTTTGTTTACGTGGGTTATACTGATATTTGCCTTATTAGAATTTAAAACATCTTAATATTATTATGAAAATGTTCTGATTCACAGAGTCCTTTAAAGGATCTGGATCACCCTTTCTACTGGATACTTTCCCTTTTCATTTTCATGACATGACTTTCTACTAGTTCTCTTCCAGTCAGTCTCCTTTGTTGGATCTTCCTCCAGGTCAAGGAAGGAAGGAAGGAAACAACCATTTAAGTACACACTGTGTGCCAGGCACTGAGCTAAGCACTTTCTCTCATCTGATCCTCACACCACCCCTGGGAGTAAGTGCTATTATTATCCCCATTTTAAAGTTGGGGAAAGTGAGGCAAACAGAGCTTAAAGTGACTTGTTCTGAGTCACATACCTAGTAAGTGTCTCAGGCTAGATTTGAACTATCTTCCAGACTCCAGGCCCACCACTGAGTCACCCAGACAGGGTCTGTCCTTGTCTTCCTTCCCTTCTCACCCTACACTTACCTCACTTCATCTTCTCAGTTCCCACAGGTTCAATTATCATCTCTATGCAGATAATGCTCAGACTTGTTTATCAAACCCTAACTTCTCCCAACCTCCACCAAGTCATCTACTGGACAACTCAATCTGGATGTCCCACAGATGTCTCAAACACTTCCAAAATAGAACTCATTATCTCTGCCTCCCCCCTCCCCATCCCGCCTTTCTTCCAAAGTTCCCAAATAACCTCAAGGGCACCATCATTCTCCCAGTCATCCAGGCTCTTCCTCCTTGACTCCTCATTCTCAGTCATACAATCTGTTGCCAAGTCTTGTAACAATATCTACCCACACAATAGCTCTCCTATCTATCACTTCTCTCTACTCTCTCGCCCTCCACCCTGGAGTGGGGCCTCATCACTTCACTCCTGGACTACTTAGCAATAGTCTCTTAACTGATCTCCCAAAACACTGTGTCTTTTCCTTCCTTAGGCTTTCCTCTCCTCAGCTGCCAAAGTAATTTTCCTAAGGCTGGCCTCACCACATCGACAGTTGTCCTTCCCTTCAATCAACTACAGTGGCTCCTTATCTCCAGGATCAAATAGAAAATTCTCTTTTGGTCATTTAAAACCTTTCACATACCTAACTTCTACCTTTTCAGTCTTCTT